ATTTGTGTCGAAGAAAAGGAAAAGGAATGGCAGACACACGCACCGTCATTCACTTGCGTATAAGATATAAAAATAAAATAAAAATGAATAAAGCAAGGAAAATGTCGAATAAATAAAATCGGAAATGGTCCAGAAAATAAAATATAATCACAAAATTATCCAGTACTTTGCTTATTCACTTTACTGCCTTGTCAGGGGTGGAGCTAGGAGAGCTGAATGCGAACAAAATCTACATGCTGATTTAGGCTCTTTAGCTGCTTACAATCTTATTGGTTTTACAACTAAGATAGCAGCAGCACTAGCCTGGATAAGGGGAGGCTACAAAGTCCACATGCTTCTTTAAGGTTGCTCTCTTGTCGATTACAATTGAAGCTTATAGCCTGCTTCTCCCCTAAGCAGTGCCTCTGCTTCCATGCCTTATTTCTCTATGTCTATACTTTATGCTTCTTTATGTGCTTTACAGACACATCATGGGAAAAAATATTCTCTCTCATTCGTATTTCGGGCGGATATCTTTTGGGGCTTATGGGACGACAGCACAAAAAGAATGGAAACGGAAAAGAGAGAAATTAAATGCAAAAGTAATCTGCTGGTGCCAGGATTTTATCCATTCTCTGTTGCCTTTTTTTTCTCACCATTATTTCATTCGTGTTGCTGTTTATGCAATTCGCAGAAGCGGAGAATAAATGGATGCAAAATTGGTTTAGTATTTAGGTGCCGAGTTTAAGAGATGGAGCTTGTAATAAATTTATGTTGTTGAATATTTTGACCCAATTTTCATGATGAGGAACAGCTGTTGATGATATTAATTATTATTATGAATAGCTGTGACGCTTTTGTTGACATTTACTTGAAAATTGGTCTTAAAAGTTTTTTAAGGAATGAAAAGTAAACAGATTCTGCTATTTATCATTAAGTTTTTGGATGGAGTACTTTTTTGAGTTGGGATATTGATAAAAGAAAGTTTGAGAATTTGGACTAGAAAATTTTTGTGAGATGGCTGCAGATGATGCTTTACTGTTGGAATACTAGAGGATTAAATGACACATCTTAGCTTTTTCGAACTTACTTTAGACTTTTTCCAAATTACTTAAGCTTTTTCGAACTTATTTAAGCTTTTTCGAAATTTCTTAGTTTTTTACGAACTTATTCTAGCTTTTTCGAACTTATTAAAACATTTTTTAAACCTTTTCAAGTTTTTTCGAAATAACTTAAGATTTTTCGAACTTATTTTAATTTTTTCGAAATTAATTTAAATTTTTCGAACTTACTTAACCTAATTACAACTTTTTGAAACTATTTTCAAACTCTTTTAAGCTCTTCAAAATAATTTAAGCTATTTCGAACTTGTTTGAGCTTTTTTCGAAATACTTTGAGCTTTTTAAAATTTGTTAAAGCTTTCTTCGAAATAACTTAAGCTTTTACAAAATTATCAAAGCTTTTTCGACATTGCTCATTCTATTTTAATTAAAAGAACTCTTTTGTAAATTCACCATAAATTTTTAATTTAATTTCTAACCAACCTAATGCTTCAAATCAAAGTCATAGACCTTTAATAATTCCTCACAAAATCAAATCTCCACCAAAAATGTAAAATGTCAACAACTGACAATATAATTCAAAATAAAAATCCCAGCGGCAGTCAGCATCAGTTCGTTTTGGCAGTCGTTAGCTTAAAGTTAACAGAGCGATTTTCCTTCATGAATTAATAATGAATTCTTTGGAAAATTTGAAGAAATTCTTTCGAAATGAAACTCGTTTGAAATTCATAAAATTTCATGAGTTTTAAGCTGAATGCTGTATTTTAAAGAGAATTAAATCAGAATTTTGCGTGGGTGAACGTTTGAAAAATAAGTTTGAAGAGACTTTGAAGGGCAAAAAATTATTCAAATTATAAATTAAAACTTTCATAAGCTCATCAGCATCAAATCTTGCCAATTTACTATCAATTATCCGTCTCATGATGAATTAATACACTAATTAAGTAGACAGACGTTAGAAAATTCTTTTAATATAATTGAAGCTAATTTAATAAGATTTAAAACTTTTTCTCCAACAGAGGAAAAATGACTCAATTTTCCTACCCTCATTTTCCTCAAAACAAGCATCAAGAATTTTTTTTTTTCTTTTTTAAAACTTTAGAGCCTCGATGTTCTTCTTATCCCACAAAAAAAAAAACAAGGGTGAAGGAACCAAAAAAAGTGAGTGAAAATTGTCGTTAATTGCATGAGCCATTAGAAAAGTTGTTCCATATGAAAGGATCAAAAAACATAGAAACAGATAACCAAAAAATGTGAACACATTGCAATGAAGCACAAAAAATAACTAAATTTATTGTTGGTTTGTTCATTTATGATGGTTCTTATTTAAAGTGGAGGGAAAGCTTTAGCAGAAAATGAGTTTACAAAGAGTTGTTGCCCCAGAAGTTTCGTTCTTTGGAACCTAATGATTCTGATACTAATAAAGAATTTCTGGGTTCGAAACTTGGTTTCAGAAGTTTTGGATTTGCTACTTTTCTGAATCATTTGTGCTGAAAATGAAGCTTGTAGCCTTTGTGTCCAGCCATGAGCGTAACAATGAGTTTTATTGCTTGAAGAAAAATCCAAAATGTCCTCGGACACCCTCCTCCTCCCTTTGCCAAGCTTCTGTGATCAGTCAACAAGCCAAACTGTCATTAAAAGTGGTTCGGATCTCAATACATCAATTTCATATCATGACAACTTCATATCCAGTTTAAAATTGATCAAAATTTCCGGTAAAATATTTTCCTCATCATGTTGTTTTCCCCTTGAAAGTGTCAACTTTACAGTAATCTAAAATTGTTGTCTCTTATAAATCACATCCTAACAAAACAAGCTCAGAAGTTGAATTTCGTGTACCCATCATTTATAAATGACCCCCTTTTCCTCATTCGATATGGAAGCGATTCATAAAAGATACACACAAATTGAATCAGAAAAGAGGAAAAAAAGGTAAAAGGAAAAGATTTTTTTTTCCTCATTTTTATTTCTTCTTTTTACATCCTTTCGTGACCAAAATGCGTATGTGTGTGATTTGATTTTTTGCCTTTTTTTTCTTTCTCACTCTCTTTTCATAAATTCAATAAGATGAAATATAAAGCACGAAGAAGTCGGAGCAATTCATCAAAAACCATAACATAATACTAAAGAATTATGTAATCAATAGCGTGTAGATATCGTCGACTGTACGCACCTACCATGCATGTTATGTGAAGATTATGAATTATTTGTGACTTTTTCGGCAAGCTCATATTTGCTGGCTATTTGTGCGAAATCAAGAAAGTTTTTTTTTCTTCTTTTTTCGGTAGAATTTGTCAGCGCTTGTAATCCTAGTTACATGAATACAGATTAATGTTTAAGGAAATGCTATAGAGCTGACAGAATTAATCGAAAGTTTTGATACATTGGATGGACTTTGTTGGGCGTTGAACGGGAAATATTCATGGGAAAAAGTTTTCTGAATTGAAAGTTAATTAAAACTATTGGATTAATTTTAGAGATTGTGTTGTTACTATAGTGCTGAAGTTGAGGGAATGGAGGCTGGAGAAATGGTTAAATCTACTATCTAAGCCACTTAGAGGTCGCATTTTTTAAAAAAATACAAAAGATTTCTATTGTTCTTTGCTTGCAAGCAGTTAAGTGCCTTGCTGGTCGAATAGGTAAGGCGCTTGGCTCAAATTTGGTATGGTAACTCGAAGGTGGTCGGTTCGAATCCAGCCATTTCCAAATTTGGTCTTTTTCAGAAGTTTAGATACTTCGACTGCTTAATGTACGAGATCAAGCCATAATTGGGCATTTGGGCAACGTTGGATTAAGGAACGGATCCGGAACTTGAAGTTTAGCGGGAGAAATAGGAATGAGAGCTACAAGATTACCTTATAATGGAATATTGTCAGAACGGACCTGAAATGACTCACGTCACGCCCACAGAAGATTGAAACGAGAGCCTTAGTTTATTTGAAACCTAGATATGAAGATTAGAAGCTTGATTCTACGTCACCCATAGTGATATGAAATGTATCACTAATCAATGTAAAAAGTAAAAACATGTATAAAAACTAATTCTTCTGGACGGTAACGTCGACAAATAATAATAATTGATGATTCCCACTCTGGAAGTCATACGTGAATAGCCCCCAACCCATTTGACGGTTAACTTCATTTCATTTAAAAACTTACTTTCAATTTAAATAAAAGAACTTCAAACTTACAAAATATTAAAAAAATTAATTTTCATCTCAATTAAAACTCATCATTTCCATACTTTTAAACATCACTCATTCCTCACAACAAGTTTTCAAGTCGTCAACATGAATCTCTTCAGAATGATAAAATCCAATTTAGAAAAAATTTCATCTTCCGTGAATTTGTTCTACTTTCGATCTGAAAATTATTCAATTCTGACCCATTTCATGAACAATCAAGAACAAAAGTTCAGAAGACCAAGACTCTTCAGTACTTCCTGGAAGAAATTCTATTAAGGAAATTATTTGATGAGATTTTTCTTCCTAGAAGTTTTCTTTTATCGGGAAAAAAATGTTTATTTTACATTACGATTATTTGCTGAGGCTCAGTTCCTGGAAATTTTATTTTTTGAGGATCATGAAATCTGTTTAAAAGCTTGAGGATTTAGGAATAAAATCTTTAATTCCTAGATTGTATTCACAGTTCAGAGAATTAATTTTTGGGGGTTAAGGTTTTTGTTTCGATTTAAAAGTAATTTTGTTTTAAAGAAAAAAACTAGGTTTTATGCCTTCATGCATAGTTCCATAGCAGAGGAAATTGAAGTCAAAACCAGGAGAAGGTTTTTTTGTCAAATTCCCATGCTAATTGGCTTAAAAATCAATCAATCTCCACAAAAAAGTGCTCAAATTTCCATCAAAACCTTTTTAATTTTTTTGATAATTTAATAAAAACAGCTAATCTCCAATTAATCCAATAAAAAGCGCATTAAAAGCACAACTCTAGTGCCTCACTTACTTTTTCACTTATTTCATTTGTTATGTAAACATTCGAATGTCCAATCAATCACGAAAAATTCCTATTTTAATATTTATTTATCTCACTAAAAATAGATTTTTATATTTTTGTATTTTATATCCTCACACATCCAACTGCATTTAATTCTATTATTCATAAACAAAACAAAAAAAAAAGTCCACAATATGCAGCACAACACACACGAGAGATTTTATGCTAAAAAATAAAATTCGGTCGAGTTCATTGATAATGTTAATTAATCATTTATTCAAATACGAGCGGAAATGTGTAGCGCATCAATCAAGCACGTCTATTTATTCCATTTTTTTTCTTCATCACTCAATTGATGTGCCTTTTAGCTATGTCCACAAGATTCTTGATCGATGCTTAATGCACCGACTTTAATATTATTATTTTTTTTTTCTTGTCTTCTTCTTATTCTTTATGGGGATATCCTCTACGTGAGGAGTTTAATGATCGACCAAAAGAAATTAACACTCTATTACACTTGAGAGCTATTCACAGACTATATGCTGCATGCAAGATATTTTTGTTATTGAAGGGAAATTGCTCATGGAAAATGAGAACTCTCTTTTGAGTATTTCCAATGGAAAGTGAGGCAGAGCTTTTAGAGAAAGCTTTTTCTCTCTTTTATTTGGAGATAAATATTTTGAGAGAAAATTGTGCATCGTTTGTGCATTGCATCCTTTTATGTGATGTACATTTTTTATTTTATAAATATTTAATTAATTTCAGTGAAAATTACATGAATAAACTTCAAAAAGAAAATTACACACTGAATATATGTATGCGATAGAGTTATGTACATGATTGTAAATTGACATGAACCTGTTTGGTTTTGATGAAAAATTTGCGAGTAAAATTCTGATGAAAGAGTAAATTTTGACATTGAATTAATGATATTCTGAAAATCAATTAAAATATTTTTGGCTAAATTCTGAAAAATTCACCACAACTGCTGGCAAACTCACCACAACTGCTGACAAACTCTCCTTAAATTCTTGCAAACTCACCATAAATCCTGACAAACTCAACACAAATTCTGACAAACTCACCACCAATTATATCCAATTCACCACAAATTCTGACAAATTCTGACAAATTCACCACAAATTTCGACAAATTCACCACAAATTCTTGCAAACTCATCACAAATTCTATTCAAATTAACCACAAATTCTGACAAACTCACCACAAAATCTATCCAATTCACCACAAATTCTATCCAATTCACCACAAATTCTGACAAACTCATCACCTTTAAGAAAATTCATCAAAAGCTCACCAAAAGTTATTACATTATATTATCGTCAACTGTTAAATAGCAAGCAGATTAAAATGATCACCATCCAACCCACATCACATCACATCCACGGTCATTAACTAATTCCATCCACACAAACTTTCACTGATTTTTTCAATCAACTCATAAGCGACTGCAATGCTAATGAAGTCGCAAAGTGCACTTAATTTACATAACAGCAGCTAGCAACACTAATGCCAACTAATTACAAAACATAACTCATAATTATTAATTATGAACTTTTTCCTCTCCCATTCTGCTTTCTCAGCTCCACCGTTCATCTCATTTTAATATTTTCTTCCCTGCCCTTTTCAATGCATTTCAGGAGCTTAAAAGGAAAAAAAAGAAGAATGAAAAAAATTGCAATAACAAGGAAAAAAAGGAATTTCAGTTCACAAATGAGCTGTAGAAACTTTCTCATTTCAGTTTCGTGCATAAAATGTTCAGTTTTTGTTTCTCTTTCTTAATAACATTAATTTCATCATCTGCCATGTTAAAATGCAAATTGTTATTGCACTTTCACAGGAATAAACTAATTTCAAGCAAATTTCTTTGTTTTAAACATTTTTACGAGTGTTTTTTTTTTCTTCTTCTTCGTCTGGAGGAGGGAAATGACATGACAGGCTGGATTGTTTTCAGTTTGTCGGGAAGTTTGATATGTAATTTTGCTGATGTAAATGAGAACGATTGTTTTCAACGTAGCTTTGTCTTGGTTTAACAGGAACTGTTTTGGGGTTATGATTTTGAGCAGTTTTAAAACGAGAAAAAGAAAAGGAGTTTTAGGGTTAGAGAGAACCAGACATCAGAGCTATTAACTCTTAAGACAGTGTTCAAATCCTATAATTAATGCTTTTTTGTCTTTACATAAAACCATGTAATGAATGCTTTCAGAAATTTGAATTTTTTCTGTCGTTAAAATTTGAATTTCGAAAAACCGTCAACTTTCAAAGTCGCTTTTTGTTTCTTAAAGACAGTTGAACGCTAATCACCACCACAAAAATGAACTGAAAACAAATTATCAAAATTATTTTGAGTCTTTAAAACTGTTGGGCGGGAAACTTAATTGCTATAATTTCAATATTTCCATTACATACCCAAAATGCCAAGCAAAAAGCTTCCTTCACTTACTGTAAGAAAACATCTAGAGAAAAATATATAAAATAATAAATAGAATTAAAAATAATTAAATGCGTACATGAAGTACTGTGTAGGTTTGAGTAAATGAAGTGCAATGAATGAAAAACAAACTTTATTTTTCGTTGAAAATTTAATTAATTATCTTGTATTCATTACAAAGTTGTTGCTGTTGTTACTAATTCCCAAAATGGAAACTTAAAAATAAGTTTTCTGCCTTTTTATAGAAATTAATTTTATTTTCTCTTTGAGTTAAAATTTCTTTTAATTCATTTTGTAAATTTAAAATAATTAGACTTTTACATTTTGCAGTAAATAGAATTTTTAAGGAACAAATTTTACATTTGCAGCACATGCTGATAATTTTTTAAAATATACTGAGATTAAATTAAGCCAAAGGAAGGAGGAGGCTAATGTCACTTACCCCTCTCTTTGGCTCCTACCATCAATTGAGCTAATCAATTACAATTGACTGCATAATTTAACATTTGACCCGATTAAGATTAAAATCTCTCAGAAAATTGAGTCTTCAAATCCCAAAAAGCAATTATTGACAATTAAAAGATCAAAATTCTTCTAACCAAAACCAATGCCAATGAATTTCCGATAAGCTCTCATTAACGACGATATTGAGCGTAAAGGTTGAAACCACAGATTCATGTTAATTTATCGATAATTAAACAAAAATTTGTTGGATTAAACTTCTGGGATTAACCGATAGATTTTGTGTTGATTTAAATTCACTTTAAAGATAAGTCAATATTTATGGAGGAATTCAAGGAAGGTGGGGGGCTGGAGGTTTAAAAAGAGAAAAATTAATTAAATACATCATTTAATGACTGGCTTATCCAAAAGAAAACAGCAACTTTACATTCCAAATGTTTCAAAATTGCAACATATTGTTGATTCCATCAAGCGATAAGCTGATCTAGCCCTATTCTATCGATATGTCCCCCCTCAAGAAATGAAAAACTTCACGAGTTATTACAAAAATCCACTAATAATTTCTCAAGTAATCATTTTAAGGATTTCAAAAGCAACTCTTATGAATTACACAACGTGCACATGTGTTAATAATCTACTCAATTTAATAAGTGAAATTTATTTTTTCAACTTCAAAACGCAGAAATTTTTTTCTTTCCTTTATTTTTCATTTCGCACACAGCATGAAACTTTCTGTAATTCAGAAAAGGGCTTTAAAATAAACCATTTTTCATGGTAATATGTTAAGCCTTACCTTAATAGGAGAAACTTTATAAATTTATTATTCATATACGCAGTTCATGTATAAAGCTGTGACTGTATCTGAATATAATGAATTAATAATGGAAATTTTTTGATGACAGGGTTTTTAAATTGAGAGATGTGATGAGTTTTTAGAGGTTTCTTATTAGACACAAATGAACCAAACTCACCATAAAAGAACCAAGCTCACCACAAAAGAATCAAACTCATTATAAAAGAACCAAACACACCACAAAAGAACCAAACTCACCATAAAAGAACCAAACACACCACAAATAAACCAAACACATCACAAATAAACCGAACCCACCACAAAAGAATCAAACACACCACAAATAAACCAAACACATCACAAATAAACCAAACACACTACAAGTAAACCGAATTCACCACAAAAGAATCAAACACACCATAAAAGAATTAAACTCACCATAAAAGAACCAAACTCACCACAAAAGAACAAAACTCAACAAAATTGAAATAAATCTCACCACAAAAGAACCAAACTCACCACAAATGATCAAAATAAATTAACCCTAGTTCTAATCTATTTGTGTTTTTAAACTCTGATTGCTCAAGCACCAAAATTTTATAAATAACGCTTCAGCATGAAGTTTCAAAAGCCTGAATAAAATCAAATTAACTCCCAAAAAAGCAGCTTCATACATTAATTAATCATCATCCTTATCATCAACTTCAACAGTTTTTCCGAGAACCTTAATGATAATTTTCATATCAAAAGCTCTGCATATGGCTTATCATCATCACATGTGTATGCTTTTGACTCTGATAATGTAATTTCTACGAACATGTTATTATTTGTGACATGACTGAGGGGAAAACAAGAAGAATGAATGGAAAAATAATTTTCAAGTCTGTCATTGTAGCTGCTTACATAATTTTTTTGGCTTCTAATTTTAAAAAAACTTTTTTTTCTCTTTGTGGATTTTTCACAGGATGTATCTGTTTTTTAGTAAATATTTTTCGGGCCAGTGCTCTTTTGTTAAGAAGTTGGCAATGAAAATAAAAGAATTAAGAAGGAAATGCGGCTTCGAGATTATTTTCTTTATTTTTGGGCTTCAGAGCTGAATGGGGATTTTTCTTGACCTTCCTTTACGATTAATTCAATGACATTGGGGTTGATTAGAGTGTGACTGAATAATTTTAGGGTTTCAGAATAAAAGGTTTTGCATTAGACAGCTTAATGTTTAGAAGATTTGAAGGTTATGTAAAAAAAATTATAAATTTTTAAGATAATTATGATTTTGTAGAGTTTTTTGTATTTTTGATGAGTTTTGTATGATTTTGGTGAATTTTATTTCAATTTTGGTGAGTTTGATTCATTTTTGGTGAGTTTGGTTTATTTGAAGTGA